ACCTCAGGAGATAATCAAGTCCAGCCCCCCTGCCCAAGGCAGGACCAATCCCAACTAAATCGACCCAGACCTGGGCTTTGTCAAGCCAAGACTTAAAAACCTCTGGGGATGGAGATTCCATCACCTCCCTAGGTAACCCATTCCAGTGCTTCACCATCCTCCTAGTGAAATAGTTTTTCCTAATATCCAGCCTAGACCTCTCCCACTGTAACTTGAGACCATTGTTCCTTGTTCTGCCATCCGTCACTACTGTGATCAGCCTCTCTCCATCCTCTTTGGAACCTCCCTTCAGAAGGTTGAAGGTTGCTATCAAATCCCCCCTCACTCTTCTCTTCTGCAGACTAAACAAACCCAAATCCTTCAGGGTATGTCTACACTACCCCCCTAGTTCGAACTAGGGGGGGGTAATGTAGTCATACAGAGTTGCAAATGAAGCCCGGGATTTGAATTTCCCGGGCTTCATTTGCATGAAGCCGGCCGGCGCCATTTTTAAATGCCGGCTAGTTCGGACTAATCCGAACTAGCTGTACACTTCGTTCCACGAGGCATACAGCTAGTTCGGATAGGAAGCCTAATCCGAACTAGCCGGCATTTAAAAATGGCGCCGGCCGGCTTCATGCAAATGAAGCCCGGGAAATTCAAATCCCGGGCTTCATTTGCAACTCCGTATGACTACATTCCCCCCTCCCTAGTTCGAACTAGGGGGGTAGTGTAGACATACCCTCAGTCTCTACTCATAGGTCATGCGCTCCAGCCCCCTAATCATTTTGGTCACCCGCGTGTAGCCGCGCGGCACGGGGTTCGAACGAGCGGGGATTTAAAAATGGCGGCGCCCCGCTTATGCAAATGAAGCCCGGGAAATTCAAATCCCGGGCTTCATTTGCAATTGCGGTATGCCTACATTACCCCTCTAGTTCGAACTAGGGGGGTAGTGTAGACATACCCTCAGTCTCTACTCATAGGTCATGCGCTCCAGCCCCCTAATCATTTTGGTCACCCTCTGCTGGACCCTTTCCAATGCGTCCACATCCTTTCTACAGTGGGGGGCCCAAAACTGGACACAATATTCTAGATGTGGCCTCACCAGAGCTGAATAGAGGGGAATAATCACGTTTGCCTTTTTCCAGTCTTCCGGGATCTTTCCCAGTCTCCATGAGTTTTCAAAGATAATGGCCAAAGGCTCCACAATGACACTTGCTAACTCCCTCAGTGCCCTCAGATGCATTAAATCCGGACCCAAGGTAACAAAGGTAACCTTTTGCAAGGTAACAGAGGCACAGATCATTTGTGCCAGTTTTTCAACCTAAAGAAAAGAGTTCAACTTTCAGGATGAGTATAAATAACACCTCTCCTGTCTTCCCCATTTACACGTAAAATTGGAAGAGTGACAGGAGAACCTTATGGAGCACCCCAAAGGGCACCTTCAAGACAAATAAACATCCACTTCTCACTACTTGCTGGGATTTCTCAGAAAGTCACGTTCTTTGACAGTCTCCATCTAAACCAGTCAGTTGTTCAAGATCCAGAAAGAGAACATGAAAGATGTACTTTACAGGCACACTTGGAACAAGAGCTGCTGACCCTGAGTAACTGGACAAGACAAAGGTCTTTTGAGTTCATCATCCTACAAGGACAGGATATAGAATCAAGGTCTAACCTGCCTCTTACAAACACCAAAGCAAATTGAGAGTAACTCAGGGTGTAGAATTCTCTGATGACTTCAGTGGAGTTTTGCCCATTGATGCCAACAGAGATAGCAGTTTTACACTGTCATAGAATTTGGCTTACTGGAGTAACCCTGCTGTATAACAAGTGTAAATGAAAAGACCAAGGCCATAACATATTTTCATCTCTAAAGACTATGATCCTATAACAACAAAACCATAGATATCTGTGTGACGTAGTGGGGGTACTTGCTGTGCTGTGGTGACCCCTGCTGTCTGGAGCAAGACCCAGCAGGGAAAACCTGGCTAGGCAGAGATAAGGCCAAACTGGTTGAACCAGTGGCCAGACACCCCCCATGGAGAGGAACAAAGGAAGGTGGAATGCTGCCCTGACTGCGGGGGCAGGGCTGGAGGGGAATTTAGTTAGACTGTGGAAGAGCATGGAGGAGAGCCTAGGGGAAGGGGCTGGAGTTTAGGGGCCCAGTCTCCCCCATCTCAAGGGGGCCTGAGGCATCCTAGCCCAGTTCCTGTAACCAGATTACATCTGTGCTGCGCTGTGCTGGAGGAGCAATAAACCACCCTCAATTCCACTGGCTGGTGCAGTCTGTTTGTGCCATTTCGGGGTGCAGGAGACGGGGAACCCCCAACGTTAATCCAGCAGCTCACCACCCAGCAACAAGAGCAGCAAAAACAACTGATCCGGGAGGTAGCCGAGCAAATGAAGGCGCAACAGGAAGAGTGGATGAGACGATATCCACCGGCAATGGTGACCCCCCTGAGTCCAGCGTGCCCCGAAGAGGAGGGGCCAGCAGGAGAGGGGGAGGTGGTACGCCTGCCCATACGGCTAACTAAGATGGGGCCGGCTGACGATCCTGAGGCATACCTCGCCACCTTTGAGAGGGTGGCGACGGTAGCCCGGTGGCCAGAATCCCACTGGGGGTATGTCTACACTACCCCGCTAGTTCGAACTAGCGGGGTAGTGTAGACATACCCTGGATGAATATAAATAACACCTCTCCTGTCTTCCCCATTTACACGTAAAATTGGAAGAGTGACAGGAGAACCTTATGGAGCACCCCAAAGGGCACCTTCAAGGCAAATAAACATCCACTTCTCGCTACTTGCTGGGATTTCTCAGAAAGTCACGTTCTTTGACAGTCTCCATCTAAACCAGTCAGTTGTTCAAGATCCAGAAAGAGAACATAAAAGATGTACTTGACAGGCACACTTGGAACAAGAGCTGCTGACCCTGAGTAACTGGACAAGACAAAGGTCTTTTGAGTTCATCATCCTACAAGGACAGGATATAGAATCAAGGTCTAACCTGCCTCTTACAAACACCAAAGCAAATTGAGAGTAACTCAGGGTGTAGAATTCTCTGATGACTTCAGTGGAGTTTTGCCCATTGATGCCAACAGAGATAGCAGTTTTACACTGTCATAGAATTTGGCTTACTGGAGTAACCCTGCTGTATAACAAGTGTAAATGAAAAGACCAAGGCCATAACATATTTTCATCTCTAAAGACTATGATCCTATAACAACAAAACCATAGATATCTGATCACAGCTTTTCTTTTGCAATACAATTTCTTAAGCCACAGAAGCTGGAAAATTCAGAAGTATCTAAAGATGGGGCCCATATTCTGTTTCCAGTCACACTAGTGTAATTTCCAATTACCTTCACTAAACTCACTGGAGTTTCTCTGGATTTTTATTCTTGTAAATGACCACAAAATCTAGCCCAATCTCATCTTTCATAGTTACTAGATAGTTCAGATGTCTGTAAACATTTGATGATCAGATATATAGTATGTACTGATTATCGAGGAATAGTGGAATGGTTTAAGGATGAAGTTCAAATTTTAACAGTGCATTCCTTGTTCTTGTGCAGTTCTAAATTAATCATAGCTTCTAAAAATGGTTGTAAACTGTATTCTCTTTTTAAAATAGCTCAGTCTGGAAACATTCCCCACTAAATCGTAAAATTCAGAACTTAATAAGTATTGATGGTTAACATGTCAAGAGCCCATTCAGCTTCTTCTGTGATTTAGTTTTCTACAAATGACTAGCACTCAACTATCAATGCATTTGGCTAATTACATCATAGATTTCCCTATTGATGAACAGCATCTGAATTAACACAGGAGCACTAATGTTACCCTTTCACCATTATTGTTGTACAAGAAGCCGTGGCAGATGCTGGCAGTTAGTTACACAAACATTAGTATTAACGATTGGCCATTTGGAATTGGTGACAAACTGCAGCCCGATGGAATTCTGAGCCTGAAACCAATCAGGAAGTTAATGAGGAGAGAAATTACCACTGCAGCTTCCCCTTAATTACATTCTCGCTAGGCAGAAAGGGAGTGCTGGGGGTGGATCTCAACTCATCTAAGGTTAAGAAGGTCAGAGACCCTTTTACTTGGTTTTTGTATCTACTGTGAATTGTAATGTTGCAGATCTTTCTAGCCCTATATTCTGACATTCTTAATATTTAATTCAAGGGTCTTTCAGTCTTAGCTCTTGAGACTGGAAGTTTGTTTTAGTCATACTTTAATTCCCATGCTCCTTATATTCTTATTTTATTGCTTAATACTGTATTAATCCCCCACATTATTTTCCCTCGTGCCTTTTGGTTTTAAGGTGTACCTCTGTTCACACTCCTTGACTTCCATAGTTCTACAATAGGTTGTATTCTCCTCATGCAGGAAAATCCAGCATAGGAGCCAGGGAAATGTAAGTTTCCTGACAGCTAAGGAGTTTATAGTGGAAACCATCACCATACTGTAGTGTCTGACAGCCTCCTACTTGCTAACCAAATTAGCATGGCAGCATCCCTATTGGACTTTATGGAGTCTCCAGCCTTTGTCTCTGGACCTCATTTTTCCAAAGAGAGAAGAGTAGAAAGTAGCCAAATAGGAAGAAGAGGCACAGTGCCATAAATCAGCAGATGGCCCTTGTTCCTTATTTCTTTCCCACTCTCCAGCCATGGCTTCTCTCTTGGTTCAGTGTAGCAGAGTGCTGTTTGCATCCCTCTGTGCTGCACCCCCAGCATCTACTTGCAGACAGCTGTAATTAAAGACTGAAGAGGCACTCATTTGGCTGTTAGCCAAATATATATTCCCCTCCTCCCCTTTCTCCTGGGCTAAGAGTTATTTGGGCCTGCCTGGCACAGCGGCGGGAGGGGAGGAATGACCCAAATTATTATTAGTGCTATTTGTGGTGCCTGTAGTTTGTGCAAGGAGACATGCTGCCATGGGGCTCTAGCTTCTCCGATCCTTGCCCATTTGATCCATTTAATCTGTTAATATTTCACTCTTGTATTGCCTCCCCAG